CTTGTTCTCAGGTAACATGTTTTGGCTGAGCACAAAGATAAGTTAATATATTAATTTATGTGACCACGTACACTGATTCTGCACATTTAACTGATTGCTTGCCTTTATTTGCTACAATGTATAAGCTTATTTTATGTTATACTTTTATAATGGCCATTATTGATTATTAAAACTAATATTCAGCGAGAGAGTATGTTTCGTATTTTCAATGAAAATGAAAGAAGGCAGTGATGTTATACGATCCGTTTTATTAAAAATATGCATGCAGCGAAGATGACGCTCATATAAATATGTAGCTACATGACGCCTCAAACATTTTTGGTATCTATTAAGTTGCTAATATTAAAATGAAAATTGACAGTTCGTTATATCATGTTTTTATTTTATTAAGAAAGTGAAACAACGTAGCCAGGGTGATGTGAATGTTATATAGAACACTGTTCCTTTTGAAGATTCATCCAACGTGTCCTTGGGAGTTTGTTTTCCACATCAAACTTGCGAAGTCGAACTTACAAGGAGAGGATGCAAGACTAAACTTTGTATACCTAATATTGAGGAAAAAGCCCCAATCAGATGGAATCTGGAATCTGCAGGCGAATGTCTGCAGCCATACCTACATTTTCAGATATCTCTGTTTTCCCCCATCCACACTGGCACAGAGCAGCAGCATTTTAAAATTAAAACAGCCACTTCAAGGTTTCCAAAATGCTCCATTTTCATTGCTCAAAAACTCTGGGGTAGTGTGGACGGAAGGTGTAACCATAGCAAAACTTACACATTTTAAAACTAAAACGTATTAGTCTAAACGTTATATCGTTTAAGTCGTCTGATATGCAGTGACATGCAGTCAAATATTTCGCCAAGCAGTCCTTAGGGATGCGGTGACACGCAGTCAGATATTTCGCCAAACAGATCGGCCACTTTTGGCGCTCATAAAAAATCATAAAACTCTCGTGCTGCAGGAATGAGGAGGTCTGCTGAAGGTGCGCAGCTGTCGTGCAGTGAGGCGTTTGCGTCTTTAATAATCAACGGCAGTTTGCGTTCATTGAACAGTAAGATAAACAGTCCCTTAAAGTCACGTCTCGCTTTCAGTTTCGGGCTTTGGCGCGTAGTGTGAGTGCAAAACAAGCGTACCGCGCCCAAGCCCAAGTGAACCGCGCTCAAACCCACCTCTTCCAACCGGGCCAGGGCCGGCCAAGTGAACCATGCCATTCATCGCACTCACACTTCTCAAACGATACGGGAAATGGGCCTGGCCACGGTTCGGATAGCGTAGTGTGAGTATGCCCTACTGTAAATTCTACAAGAAAGTGTTAACAGCATAATAGTGAGAATTGTTCTGATGCCTTTTTTTTCACTGTGAAAAACTCACACTTTTGGTCCGGACTAAACACACTAGAACAATAGAACCTCAAGTGTAAAAACACCCTTAAATATAATAGCTTAAGACTTTTTAGCAAGGTTGAGATAATCCATGTTGGGCTGATGACATGTATTGTATAAACAAAACACATATAGCCCTCATCCTCATATTTTGACCTCATTTAAGCAGGTTCGTCTTTAATTAGGGGCGTCAGACACTTCCATAATTCACACCCAGCATTTAAGATCATCACTTAATTAATAGAATTTTAACATGTAATGGACCGTTTAGTACCATAATGCTTTGTGTGAGTCTACACTAAACAAGTGTCAACCAGAGGTCTTTGAAACCTACTGACTGTGATACGTTTGGTATAAAATGATGCAGTTTTTCCTGACAGAGTCTTTAGTATCATTTGGAGACAAAGGTCTGCTGGAACTTCGAGGCAGGGTAAACAAATGCACAAGCACTTTTAGCCTTAAATGGTTCAGATCTACACACAGCAGACAGTTGCACATCTACACACACACACACACACACGTTAGAAATGAACACCACGCAATTGAATTAAAGAGATAGTTCACCCAAAAATGAAATCTCTTTCATCCTTTACTCACCCTTTACTTGTTTTGAACCTATTTGAGTAACTATGGAAGTCAATGGGTACCATCGAACAACATTTTTCAAAATATCTTTTTTGGATTCAATAGAAGAAAGCAACTTATAAAGGTTTAAAACCACATGAGGAAGAGCAAAAGATGAGGTAATTTTCATTTTTGGATGAGCTATCCAAAAATGAATTTTTGGATGAGCTAAGGCAGGAAATGGAGCACAGGTTACTAGTTCACTCAAACCAGTTTGTGTTAGATGCCAAGAGTGTCAACACGATAAATTATTGTAATTTTACATGCCGGGGTTTCTGAGCGGGTCTAAATAGTATCAGTAAGCATAAACAGAATGATGTATTATAATGCCATGTTAAGAATACCAACTCTGAGCCTGGTTGATACATTCGGCTTTTTTAGCATAAAAGATTATTGGTAGACTCAATATTAAGTTAATACATACTAATTAAAAGGTCAAAAGATACACTCTGAAGAATTATTGGTTGTGGATTTTTTTTCAAGTAAATTTAGACTTTTTAAGCCATTTCACCCTAATAAGTTCATATCTGACCCAACGTTGTGTCACAGAAGCCCAGCATTTATATAATAATAAGTGTACATGCAAAAATTACCTTTGCTGTTTGTTCAAACCACTTAAAATGAGCTAAAACAGCACAATTCTTGAGGGTTTTTTTGTGACAACTCAATTGTTTTATGTTCAATCCACTTAATCGATATTAATCATTTGTAAAGTAAAAATTTATACTTTTTTTCAGAATTTAAAGGTTAATATGGCATCAGAACAAGTCTACTTCTGTCATGATAGGAGCATATGCTTCATAATAATGTGTAATAGTTTTGAATGCACCATTTCATGCTCCTATAATCATAATATCATATATTTAAAAAGTGTTAATCTAATGTTACTGAATTTATGCAGAGTTAAAACTATTATTTATTATTTATGGAAAAAATGCAGCATCAAGTGCATCTTAAAGGTGTAAAGGTGGCATACAGATGCTATACAGTATAGAAGTCATAAAAAAAGCACTGCTCCATTTTTGGCTCAGTGCAAGAAGAATCCAAAGTCAGAACACACTTAGTTTGGTGCTGTCACAACAAAAGCATAGATTTCATAATGTATAACTATACAGAACTATTTGTTCTGTATTTGCATCTTTATACTATAATCACACTTTTTTTTAAACAAAAGCGTTTTTGTTGTGAAAACCTTCAGGTGTAGGTTTTGCATTATAAAGATGGTATAACGATGGTATACAATGTGAACCGCCTTAACACCTGAACCTGTCAGGACAAGAGCATCTGTTTCCTAATGTATTATTAAATGTGTACATTTTATTCATAATTTTGTAATAAAAAATATGTTAATTTTAGTAGTTTTATGAAAGTATTATTGTGCATGTCTGTGCAGATTCAGATGCAGCTTTTGCAGTATTAAAAATGGCAGAAAGATTGGATACGCTATGAAAATACACTATACTGCTTCATTTGTGCTTCTGTGCTAAATGACAGCCTTAAAGTTTGTTGATGATTTATATACTTATATGTTCTATTACATTATAAGACCATAAGAGCCTATTTTGTGGTATAATAAATGCAGCTTTTGTGTAACAGAAACCAAATACGCTGTGAAAAAATATATATTTGCTGCATTACTGTGCAAAATGACAACCTTAAAGTTTGTTGCTGTCCTGACAAAAGCATAGGTTTCATAATGTATACCTCTATAAAGAACTATGAGTTCTGCATTTGCATCATTTTATTATCTTTTTTAAAAACTAAAACTTTTGTGAGGTAGAAATGCAGTTTTAGGCAAAGGTTTTTGCATTATAAAGATGTAATAAAGATGGTATGTAACATGAAAACATTTCTGCTTCTGTGCAAAAAAGAAGAACCGCCTTAACATTTGGACAAGAGCATCTGTGTCCTAATGCAATATTCAGTTAGTACATTTTTATTCTTACTTCTGTAATAAAAAACATGTTAATTTTGAGTAATTTTATGTCCATTAGTGTGCATGTCTGTGCAGATTCAGATGCAGCTTTTGCAGTGTTAAAGATGGCAGAAATATTGGACATGCTATGAAAATACATGATACTGCTTTATTTGAGCTTCTGTCCGAAATGACCACCTTAAAGTTAGTTTATGATTTATATCATTAAATGCTCCATGTCATGTTTTTATAATGCTGATTTCACATTATAGTAGACCATCAGGACATATTTTGGTGTTATAATAAATGCAGCTTTTGGGTAACAAAAACCGAATACGCTGTGTAAAAAACAGTATTTGCTGCATTACTGTGCAAAATGACAACCTTAAAGTTTGTGGCTGTCGTGACAAGAGCATACGTTACATTATGTACCACTCATACATCCATCATTTCGTGCTTCTATGTTCATAATTTCATACTGACAAACCATAAATCATGTGTAAACCAATATCTGCAGCATTACTACGCCTGCATCTTTTTGCAGAACAAAACAGAGCCTTATATGAAGGGAATAGATGGAATAATGGCGATGCATTTGTGGGAAACTGAACTGCTTGTTTACCAAACTGCTGGTGTACAGAAGACGTTACACTAGCATAAATAACAACACAGCCACAGAAATTCAAAACCATCAACGGCTACATGTAGATTCCACGGCGGAATTTCGAACGCTCGGTCCCTAGGGAAACGCGTTTTCAGAATCCTAACGGAACAGAAAGAATCAATTCCGAAGTCTTTGGTCTCCTCAAGGTCAAATAGATACATTGTAACAAAGAGAATGCGGCGGGAGTTACATCAAACGAACGAACGCCCTTACGAACGCAAGCTCCGCGCTGCTGCGGGGATAATAATTGGCTCCAACATCTGGTGTTGGTTGTGTTGGTATGGTTGGTGGAGGTGGTGGTGGGTTTTGGGGTGGGAGGAGGAGGTGGAGGAGGAGAGGAGGGGGGACGTTAACGTATCCTCCGCAACAACCGTATTGTCGAGCGAAATAAGTCATTTAAAATGCCACTCATACCTTCGGATAACTCCAGCTCCAGCTCAGCCAATCTGGCCCGCACCTCCAATGGAAGGGGCAATGCATCGCGGTCCGCCATTGTCCGTTCAAAGGGGTAAAAATCACTCTCGTCCTCTTTCTTCGACTCTTTCAGCGCGGCTGCCGTTTCTCCGAGTCGCAGCGGTGCATAAGGAGGGCTGCGGGAGACGCGTGTCCAAAAACAAACTGCTCGGTGAACGGTGCTACTCGGGAGATTTTCTGTCCCTCTCAACGAAGCCCCGCCATATCTGAAGGGCTCCGCCGTTGGAGTCAGCAGTGGAAGATGTGGACTGTCAGTGCGGTGAAGCTCACGGGTCGGAGCGCTGTGTGTGTGTGTTTCTCCAGTCTCTCCCTCTCTTTCTCACTGTCACTCTCTCATGACGCAAGGCGAGTGTGGTGTTTTTGGCCGCAAGAGGGCGGAAGAGCGCCTATGTTTATGTTTCCAAAAATAATGCTAGTAATTTCTTGATGAGAATTTGTTTAAGTAAAGTCTGTCATTATTAATTATCGATAAATTTTAAAATAAACGAATGAATAAAAAGTATTAACTTACATTGTAATACCGTTTTTATTCATAAAATGCATTTGAATAGATACGTATTTTAAGTTCTGATAATTCAGAATATATTTTTTTTATATTTTTAGTTGTTTTAAAAATGCAATTAAAAAGGAAACAGTCTTAAGTAGCATTTTTTAAGTAGTAATGTTAATTTTAAGTTGTACTTCCCATTATAAAAATGAATATTTGTATCCATTTCTTAGTGAATATGGGTAATATGAATCGGTGCATTTGAACAAAACAGATTTATTAAACAGATATCTTTATTAAAATAACATTTTAGTCACAGAACATCTTTGGAAATGAAATGATAATAAATTAAAATTCATGCAAAATATTGCACATAAAAAAACACGTTTTTGTAGATTTTTGCTGTTTTTGAAAATCTTTAATATTTTTCCCTAACATATAAATAAGGGCTACTAATTTTTGAACTATTATTGTAAGTGATTTTGTTAGATTAGGTCCAGATTTGGCTTCAGACTTCAGATAGAAAATATGGTGTAGTCATATATGCTGGCACTATATATATATATATATATATATATATATATATATATATATATATATATATATATATATAGTTGATATCAGAAATATTAAATCCCATTTGAATTTTTTGTTTTTGTTTTTTTTATTTCCCAAATGATGTTTGACAACAAATTTTTATAGTATGTCTGATAATATTTTTTTGTCTTCTGAAGAAAGTCTTATATGTTTTATTTTTAAAAACTATTTTAAGGTCCAAATTATTAGAACCTTTAAGCTTTTTTGTGGATAGTCTACAGAACAAACCATCGTTATACAACAACTTGTATAATTACCCTAAGCAGCCTAGTTAACCTAGTTAAGCCTTTACATTTCACTTAAGCTGTATAGAAGTGTCTTGTAAAATATCTAGTTATTTACTGTCATCATGGTGAAGATAAAATAAATCAGTTGTTAGAAATGAGTTATTAAAATTATTATGTTTAGAAATGTGTTAAAAAAATTACATACACAGCTTAAATATCAAATAGCTCTTTCAATCTAACTTAGATATTTACACCATGTTTATTATATTTGTTACTGTTAAGGTCACCAGAATCATGACCAGGTTTTTATGCAGTGTTGAATTCATTCAGCTTGATGCTGTAGTGAACCATCTTTCTTTTACCTTGGACTCAACGGTAATAAAGGGATTGTTCTACTAAAAAAAACACACTTGGTTCTAAACTTTTATAAGTTCTTCAGTTGAACATAGAATGATATTCTGAAGAATGTGGGAAGCATTGACTTACATAGTACACACATTCCTATTGCACTTTTGCTGATTTAAAACATCTTCCTGTGTTCAACAGGAGAAAAAAAGGTAAATCAGGTTTGAAACAAGTGGAGGATGAGTAGATGATGGCAGAATTAAAATGTTTGGGTGAACTACCCTTTTAAGGTCTTTCAGTAATGCTGTGGGTTTCAATATTTCCTCTACTTGCCGATATACACATTCAAAAACTGCAACTAAAAGTCCTGTATCTCCTTTATGCTTGTGGAATAAAGCCTATTAGACCAGAAGGTTGATTTTCATGAAGTATTAACGCTTTTATTATGCCACCTTGTGGTCACTTATGTCAGCCAAAGCCTGAGAAAGAAACCATGACCTGGTTTAAATAAAGCAGCCTAACTGAATAGACATCCAATTTGTCATTAACATTTATTTATTATTTTTTTTCCCATACATTTTCTCATAACCAATTTTAGGGTACCTTTTTAACATTTTTCCAATTATTTACATCTGTACAAAGAAAGCACACACATACGAGTGTATACATGTACTACAGTTTAGACTACAAGCATTTACACAGAGGAGAAACGAAACAAAACAGAAATCCCATCTCAATCCCAAAAGTATTGTGCTACACAAAATGTAGTGACGAAGGCTTTGTGACGCCTCAACCACATCATCCTTTTTCCTACACTTTGGGAATTGAAAGAAAAACAAAAAACAAAAAAACAAACAAAAACCTCCAAACTGTCATCTAAAAAGTTAAGGCAGAGACTTTTTTTTCAAGTTTAAATAAAATTCAAGTTTTCAAACACTGTTAATTTATATGTGATGTCTGTTTCCTTTTTTAACACCTTAAAGGTTTATGTAATGAAACTTTCAGAGTATGCTTCATTTGTTGATGGAAAAATAATCAGTTGCATTCAGAGTCAGAAAAATCAACATAAAACATTTTCTTTGATAAACCGAGGGGTAAAAAAAAATAAACAAAAAAAATACCGGGAAGATACAAAGAGAATATAAACAACAAGACAAACATCTCAAAGCATTCTGCACGTGCTCCACACTGCAGGAAGACATCAAAACAAAAACATGGTCTGTCTCGCTCGACCCAAACACGGGTGAGAACCAACGAACTGAACGAATGATTAGTAGAAACGAGTGTGACACGGAAACGTACAGGAGAAAGTTCACAAAATAGCGCTGGTCCATGTGTGCTGGAGGCTCAGATCTTTTTTGCTCTTGATGTATACGTCACTATAGAAATGTACACAATCCCACGCGTATAATTGTGGTGATATGAAAGCGAATGGTTAAAGGTCATACGACAGACATTGGTGCGTGTTGGTGTCTTTCGCTCCATTTACATAGATAAAAAGCACCAAAGTAACCATGTGACAAACCATAGCACCACACCAGGATAACAAACAAAGCCAAAGAACTCATCTATCATTTAGATCACATCAGACTAGGCACATGAACACTTCACCCTCGCAACCTGAGCACTATTGCAGTGTGAAGTTCTTTCAGAATCCAATGAAGAGGCATCAGATTCTTCCCAAACAATCAGCGAGAAACAGAAATCATACAGCAAATCAACGTGTGCCATTAAAAGCTTAAAAAGAAAAAAGGAGAGAGGAAAAACAACCAAAAAAAAAAAAAAGAAAAACGTAAAAGAAAGCATGCACACAAGAACAGGTATACATACACCTGCTACAATATCACATTAGTACATCTGATAGAGGATTAGCATGTAAAAAAATATTTCAGAGCTCAACGAATAAGAAAAAAATAAAGCAAATGTCACTCCAGTGCTGGAACATCCGAACGTAAAAACCGAACGCAAAACAATTTACACAAAGTCTCACTCATGCAGTTTGTAATGACCGGAACTGTCAGAATTCATATCGAATCGCGTCAGTACCAAGACACTCAAGGTTAGCAAAATTATATACATCTCAGTTTAAAAAAAAGGAAAGGAAAACCTAAATTAAAGTGTTTCAGGATCAGCACTATCCACAAAAAGAACAAAAATCTGTATTTTCTCCCAACAGCACTGTTTTTTTTAACCCCAAAATAAAGATGAGCTCTGACGAAATGTTTTAAATAGTTACTCTCCAACCGGTGCTGGTTCATTAATCCCATTTTCCTTAGAAAACAACAAAAGATCTTTTTAAATTTTGAAACAAAACGACATAAAGGACAACAAAAATATTCAGAGAACCCTTTATGCACAAGTGCTTTTGTCTGTAGGCCCTGATTCCAGTGACAAGCTGTCTGTGTGTGCACTCAAAGAGACCGTGAGATAAGAGGGACTTTTCTTCTTCTTTTTTAATTTTTTTTGCGGGGGGGAGCAGCCCTGACAGAGTTTTCATTCCCGCTCGGTCCTGGAAGCAAAGCAGAGGCTCTCAGGATTGGTGGAAGGAAGCTGTGGTGCCAGCGGTCGCTCGATCTCCAGGACTCTGCTGAGATTTCACTGTCTCTCTGGGACACGCTGTGGCTGTGGATTTGGCAGGTGCGGACGCTGATTCTTTGCATCTGCGTTCTGCAGAGTCAGGAGTTTTGACGTCTTCGGCGGTGGAGCTGGGAGCTCGAGGATCCGCTGACGGCTGCTGTGTTGGTGCTTCTCTTATCCTCTGACAGATCTCTGCGTAGCTTGGCTTCCGGGGCTCCTGCTAAATAAATGAATCAAATTAAGTAGGTGATCTGGCATTGCTGTATTATAAGGTCACTCAGATGTCGCTCTTTTTAACTGATATGTAGGATGACAAGGCATTTTAATTATCTGTGTGTATTAGGGACACATCAATGCCAAACAACTGGCACCAACGAAACCCAACTGCGGTGTCACTTCACTTTGGATAGCACATGGACCAAAAACTGTGCACAAACACGCCAAATGGGGCGAAATCCGGCTGAAACGAGAGCCAGGTTCTGCACCTGTGCAAGAAGATGAGTCTTTACGCTCCACAGGGGGCAGTAGTCTGTTTTCTTGCACAGACAACATGTAAACAATGCAGTGTTTAGTACCTTTGACAGTTTTCAGTCACATGACCTGTGCAGAGACCTGGCGGGCAAAAAATAAAGGGCCGTAATGGAAGCTACACTGGAATTTCCATAGAAAAGCAGCACAAACCGGTCATATTTCAATCTCTTTCAAGATACGAATATTTGGATCACATATCAACAGAACAGACGTGTTCCCAACATTATCCTCCAATTATTGAAATAATCCCACCAATAACTAAATTTACTTGACACACTCAAGTGAGGATAGCGGCAGCAAAAAAAATAGAAAGTGGACATAAGGACCTTTTTTCAAAGAAAAGTGTAAGTCACATAAACTCAATCTTGCTTAATGAACGGGTCAATCATAATAATGTTGTTAATGCTAATGTTTTTTCCCATTTGACGCACATTCTAATGTTACAGCAGGCTGACATAATCTGTGAATAATATGGTCTGAAAACTAATTGTTTCACAGGGTGATTCACAGGTCCTTACCAATGTCAAGAGCAGACCTAGGCCCTTGGTCTTAGAGATAAAGCCCAAAGG